TCATTATAACAGGTAATGAGTAAAGAAAATAAATGGGTTGATAAATTAGAAGATATAGATTCAAAGTATCAGAAAAAATATGCCAAGTCTCTTTGGCCGCCTACAGATGTAGGTAAACTTAACCTAGAAAGATGGTAGGTTTTCACTATTATCATATGTTATTTTATCAGCAATACATTAACAATATTTATTATCTTTCCTTCAGCATGCGGATATATCCTCACTTTCAGGATACTGGTGCCTTTTTCATTGCGGTGCTTCAAAAGACAGGCCCAATAACTGACATTAGTTCTATAGATGGTTCAGCGTCGAATAAGAACGCTTGTGATACAGAAGATGCATCAGTCGCTGAAGCTAATGAAAATGACATTCAAAATTTTTATGAAGAAACTGACATGCCAAATGATCCAGACGCAACAATAGTTGATGATCTATCAATTAATGTAGCTGTAGATAATTTACATGTAATCCCCATAAAGAGACATAATGTTGATTCTTCCAAACATGAATCACATAAATGCCCAAAGGTTGAAAAGCTCGAAACAAAAATAGAACCTGATGAAGATGATAATCAGATGGGATCTAAACATGAATCACATAAATGCTCAAAGGTTGAAAATCTCGAAATAAAAGTAGAACTTGATGAAGATGATAATCAGATGGGATCTAAACATGAATCAAATAAATGCCCAAAGGTTGAAAAGCTCGAAACAAAAATAGAACCTGATGATGATGATAATCAGATGGGATCGCAAAAACAAGCGTGCGAAGAACCTTTTATTTTTTTGGATCCAGATGATGCGGTTATCTCTCAGATCAGGTTTTTTTAAAAAATCATTGTGCTTGTACTACATTTGTCTCCATTTGTGAAGTATTTGCTAATCATGAAAATCTTTATCAGAGAATATTATGGATTATCCCATGAATTTCCAACAGATCAATTGCTTGTTCGATCAGTAAATGAGAGAAACAAGATCTTGTATTTTGTGTCTGAACCTGTTAAACGAGTATTGCAGGCACCCGATTGTCATCGATTAAGGGTATATTTTCATAATACCGTTTACCACTGCTTATAATATCTCCATAAAACATCATCCCCCATGATTAAGATCCGGGTATTGTTCATAATGCCTGTCAACCTAATTATTGAATAATACCTGGCGTATAATTATTAATTTATTACTTCCCATGTAAAGTATCCAAATAAGTACCTGGTTTTATACTAAGTGCCCAAATACTATAAGCAGTGCTAAAACGATACATTATCTTCTAATAGTTTGTACTCGGTAATCACGTGATATTCTGCTATTCTATAGGTAGTAAACTCTGGAATAAAAGTGTTTACCCGACAAGAAGCCAATGAACCAATAAAATGCGAATTTCGTTTTAATGCTGAGGGTATAATAATGATATATCCTTACATATCCAAAAAGAGAGTGGTGAATTTTAAATTAGAAGATCTTAAAATATTATTGTCAGAACCAACCCCGCTTTTAGATCGATTTGATGAAAAAATTAAAAAAAAGTTGAAGGAATTAGGTAATGAAAATGTGATTTCATCTTTTTATAAAGATTTTTTTTTTTTTATTAATTTCGCACCACGGTATCAAAATTGATTGATGCTATTTTTTCAGATATGGGGTGTATAATTGCCTATGTTGATCCATGTGAAGAACGTGATGCAATGTAAGTAATGGTGGCATATTTGCTTTTTTGATTGCGTAATTTTTTAAAATCTTTGCTATAATTAGTATATTACCTGTCTGGAGAGCTGCGGTATCTCTAAATCTATTATATCGAAAAGAAGAACGAAGGTTTGTTTGTAAATTCATGTACGATATCTTGTTAGATGGTAATATTGCTAACTATAATTCTTCATATTTGATGTTCAGAGTATTGGAATTAAGAGTTTCGAATTTTTACCAATAAAAGTTTAGAATAAAATGGCTTATTAGCAAATTGTTTAATTCAATTTTGCAGCTTCAATTAATAATTGTTAAATATTTAATAAAATACGTATAAAAAATATTTATTAATTTTTGCAAATGGTTTAACTTTATTATATTTGCTGTAAAAATTTTTTTGCAAAACTTACTGATTATTGCAGTAACATACTGTATGTGGTTAGAAAACACTTAATTTTTAACTTTAATATTTCACCAAATAACAAACGATTAAAAAAAGCAAACCGTAAATCTGAATGAGAAGCTTTAGGTTTATTATTTTTACGGTTTATATTTTCAATACCATTTAAATTAAAAGATAAGATGTTATTTGAAATTATATGGATTTTTTTGATGACTATAAGTGACGTGAACCATAGCAAAAAATTTTAAATATACTATAAAAAAAAAATTCCTTTAATTTTTCTAATTCTCAGCACTCACTGCATTAGCGTGATGCTTTATCTTGTTATGTTTAAGTAGATATTTAACAAACCAGGCACAGATTCAAAAATTGCGCATGTTAATGAAAACCAAATTTAACTAATTATTGTTATGTATAAAATTTAATTGCTACATATACGCATTAATATGATCGACACAAAACACAATCAAAAGATATAAAGTAAACAAATTTTGATATTTAATTTCTTTATCAAAGATGTCTGAAAAAAAATACACTCACAAGTTTACACACTGGTTCGTCTGAAATGCAGATAATTTTTTGGCATTGAATTATGAAACATGGCTAATGCAAGAGTTTCAGTTGGAGCTACTTCCAAAAAGCTCAGTAGAAGCATATAACCAATGGTCACGTGGAATAAAAGAAGCTAAAAATCATATAAAAACTATATTCAAGCTCCATAATTTGGAAAAGGCTGAAACCAATACACATTTACTAGATAAAATGGTAGTCTTTGAAAAAGTCTACTTACACATTGGGTTCATGATTAAAAAGACTATATGCATACCCAACGTTTTTTAGATACCTGTACAATACCCTCTTCTTCCAAATAGAAGCGAGAATAGTATTATCCTTTGGGTGTTTTGTACATAACTCTTTTTCCCAGATGGAAGCGAGGATAACGCTCATTTTGATGTTTTGTATAATACTCTCTTCTTCTAAGCGAAAACAGAATAGCATCTTTTTAACGTCTTGTATAATACTAATATAGTCTACACTATAATTATTGATGTCTTGCATTGTATTCATGGATTTTATCTAACTATTTTATATAATATAGCGTGATTGTCTATTTAAATCAATTTCAAAAAAGCATCAAAACAAATATTTGCATACGAAAGAACAATAGAAAAAGAATTTTAAAAGAAATATAGAGAAAATGCAGAAAGCAATGGTAAGATATAATATGTAAATGTTTCTGTAAAGATTTATAGATTTATGCATCAATTATTTGTGAGTGTTTCAACCATAATATTTATAGAAACTAGCCAATTGAATAAGTAAAGATAAACAACACAAGATCGAACAAGTTGTTAATACATTCGTCAAGACAAAGTTAGAACGTCTTCATTTTACATCACCTAGTGTTATTGGAGTTCTGGACACTACAAATTCGCATAATTCAATATTTAGTCTTTTCAGTTTCAAAGATTGCATATATTTTAAAAAGGTTATAATCGATGATACTATATTTTCCATTGTAGATAAACTGGTTCAGCTTTTTATAAAAACATATAAAAATGAAATCTGGGAGTTCTGTCACGATGTGCTTTTCATAGTACCAAGCTTATATGTCAAAACAAGATGAATTTTATGTAAGATGCACAGTTGAGTTGCTAAATAGACTGTAAGTATAAGGGTTTTTAAATTAAATTCTACACTGTAGACCTTTGCACTAATATCACTACACTTTAGCCAACACTTCTGGTGTGATGCAAAATATCTGGCTCATAGTATGGACAAAAAAAATCTACCCGAAAACCACATCATAATAACACAAACAGGCCATTTGATTGATAAGCTTTTTTTCGGTTTTGATGCTCCATATATTTTAATATGGTAGATAGTTCTACTTTTGTAAAAAATAAAATAAATATCTATAACTTATAATATAAAAGGTGATAAAATGTCAGAGACAAGTGCTGAATGAATTTATAAAGAAAATAATAAAAATAATAGAAATGGGCGTATACTTGATTTTCGTTTACAAGTTGTTATTCCAAAAAAAAAAGTTGAAATCATGGTTGGTGAAAGTTGCTAAAATGGTGCTGATTATAATAAAATAACAGGAGATCGTGAAAAAATGGTAAGAATAGTGAAGGATGCTGGAGAACGACTAGAAAGAGAATTAGTCAATTACAAGATCACAGATATTAAACATAAGATCAGAGAACAATTTAGCAACATAGATATATTCACTATTCAATCAATTGGTAAGCCAGCTAAGATTCATTTTTATGCACACATTTTCAAAATTAGATTATTTCATAAGAACATTATAATACTCATATACATGGATTAGATTGCACCAAATTAGTTTTTTTTATATTTGATTTGGTAGAAGGAATATTTTATCGATTATGAAAATTCGCAGTTGTTTCTATTCCCTTCTCGCTGTTTCAAGCAGTAAATATGGAAGACTTTATTTTTACATTACTCAAGTTTTGGGTATGTCTCATCTAGCTTTGATAAACATTTAGAAAATTCTAACCAAAACACAGGATATAGTTTGCTATCAATAGGTCCACAACTAAGATTATTAATATTAATGAATCTGTAAGAAAGAGTCGCAAAGAACTGTATTTAATAATTAGTAACACATCTGAATATCGCCAAATGCTTCCAAATTATATTACACCACTTTTACTTCTATATGATTGAATTCTTGAAGAGCTTTATTCATTTATAATTGATATCTAAGTGATTTTTAAAGATAATAATAAACAATATATGTTTGTGAAAGTAAAGCCTGAATATTTGGATGATTAACAATTTTTTAAATGAGATTTTTTGTTTTTTAATCAAAAAATAAAAGTATTTTTGCATAAAGAAGACTGCTAGTTTTTAGCATATGTAGGCAATTCAACCTTCCAAAAAAAATAATTAATCAGAAAATGTAAAGTTTTTTATTTTGAATTAGCGCAAAGTGAAGAAAAAAACCAGACGCATATTAATATAAAAAATAAATTGCTCTTAAAAATAGCATTAAAAAAACGGCTGGAATCTCATAACAGTATAGATTAATAAAGTTAACTTAATAGCCTTTACTAATTAATAATCGCGTAAAAATCATATAAAAATTGGTGAGTGTGGAACCCCCTTCTTTATTTAATATTTTTTTGCCAGAATGGCAATACAAATAAAAAATATATATATTTATTTTTTGTTTAGAAATTTTTGAAGTTTATTATAATCTAATGAACCATCATTAGATTTTGTTACTGATAATTTTATATACACTACGGGTGTTCTCAAGCACCTAAATCAATTAAACAGGAATAAAATTTTAAATAGTCGAGGGCCAAAAAAATTGATCAAGTGAATTGACAGATATAAGAGATTATCTAAAGAATTAAATAAACACTATAAACACAAACATTATTTTAAAAAAAAATTATTAAACACTTATTATTAAAGAAATAAATCATATAATACCAATTTGTTGTTCATGCCTACCTTTATTATAATTTCCCACGAGATCATATCATGACTAGGAATCTGCGGCTAGGCTCGTGCCATGCTTAGCAAAAAAATAGGCAAGGTGCAAATATAAAATCTTAGGCATGGGCATAGTTATAGACACAAAAATTTGGAATGGCCATGGACACAGGCACAAAGGTTTGGCATAGGTACAAAAATTTGGCCAAGAACTTTCATAAGTATAGATATAAAGTGCTAGGCATAAGTTGTTACTTAGTGCCTGCCACATTTGTGTCTGTGCCTTTATAGTGCCTGCTTGTACCCATAATGTGTTTGGCAATTTTGTGCCTAGAGCATAGGCATGGCTCAAGGTACTAGTTCCTGGCCTGATGCCTAATTTGCCTGGCATGGGTATTTGCAGAACTACCCCAGTAGCACCGACAGATTTTCACTGATCGACATAAATTGACCAATTAGATTTTAAGATTAGATGTAACGTGAAAATCATGTGTTTTTTTAAACTAGCAAATAACTCAAAATTTTATATATGAAACTACTTACTGTGCATTAGTAAAAAAAATTTCTTCTCAAATTTTGGTATAAAAAGAGCTCTGATATGATTATAAGATCAAAACCTAAGCCTAGTATAATGTTTTTTTATTTTAAAAATCATTGTTTTGATCAAATCTGATTGGTGTCGATTAGTGAAAATCTATTGGTGCTGCTGGGGTAGTTGTATTTGCAGATCTCTAATCATGACAAGGAATCTTCTATAGGAAGATTTCCGGTCACAAATAGTCACACAAAAAATTATAATAAAGGTAGGATGAACAACATAAGGCAGAGTATTATTCATGAATTTTCTGTGAGGAGTTAAAAACCACAACAGAGATTTCGATAATCATATGATGCAGACGGCCATCTGTATCCTATGATCATTGAGAATCTCCGTTGTAATTATTAAGCTCCCAGAAAATTAATAATACTTAGCATTTCCAGATTAATCAAAAATGCTGATATCCGCTCTATTTGGAATTTATTAGAATAAGAAGTGTTCTATCTACCAATAATGGTTATATATATGCATAATAATGCAGATGGGGGGTTTCAAAGTTAACAAATAAGTGACTTCAAATTATAAATCAGAAAAATAAAATAAGAGAAAAGCCCCTAATGCATGTAATTTACCTATTTTGAATCTTGACCTGTTTGACCCGGGTTAGACCGGGTAATAACTATAGACTTAGCATTCGTATTATATACCATGAAAAATTGACTTCGGAATTCCTTTAAAGACCCTATCAATAAGACGTAAATCAATTTTTTTTTCATTCCATACCGACGATCCATTAGGAACAATTTTTTAAATGAAGAATAAAAAAATTTTTTATAGTTTTATTAAAATATACAGTATATTATATTTTCAAGATTATTAAGATTATATTAATTGAGGCTCTAGCCTATAAAACGTTGCCATTTTGCTGGAATATAATCATGTAATATCTCTATTCAAAGTAGAGATGTTAAATTGCGAATCCGGTCCAGTCCGGTTCTGGACTCGATCCAAAAAATGATAGTTGATTGATCCCAAACTGGGTTCTGAACTACATAAGTTCATCCAATCAGATTGATAATTTATTATAGACAAAAAACTTTACCGTTACCAACGTTGTCAATATTCAATATTTCAAAATATTTTATTCAAAAAAAAAAGTTATACAAAAAATTTTCATATAAAAAACAAATTTATATCATACAAAAATATATAAAAAAATAAATTTATATAAAAAAAAACAATTTATATAAAACGAATTTTATACGTAGGTGTGGCGACTTAGTGTAGTGGTCTAGTCGTCACCCTCTCCAAGTGGCAGGTCTAGAGTTCGAATCCCACGGACG